TAAACCACATTTCTGAAGTTAGCACCTCCACTTTGGAATATATTATTGAATATTATTTGTCGCTTTTTGTTGTGGAAGAGTACAAGCGATAATTTTTTTTTACAACGAATTATTCAATATTTACAAATCCATAATTCTGGTACTGCTGAGTGTAGCAACCCAGATATTCTAGAAAAATACAAGAGCAGCAGTATTAGGACAATAAATATGACATTTTTGAGAAAAATCAAGAACAGTGATGGACCGAATTAGAAATAATATTTATCAGAGATCAGAATAAACAATAAATATAACGACAAAAATTGATAAAAAGCAACTCTCATGATATTATGGTCACATAGTGAGAACTTTATAGAAGAATACCGGTAAAATCAGGAAAAGGAAGAAGAAGGCGAAATAAAACATGGATAAATAAAAAAAAATACCTAAATGAGAAGAAAATAATGGCAAGAGAAAATAATGAAAAATTGTTATAGAGGAAAACCAGTAGAACCGAACTCACATTCTGATACACTATCAGCATTGTAGGGTCATATTTTTTATATAAAAATATTTAATTAATAAAATATTAAATGGATATGTTCCATATGTAATTTAGAAATGAAGTATCCATGTTCTCATATATTCTTTCTTTAATTTAATATTTTGTAGAATATATCAAAACAGGTCCACTCAAATTATTAACGGGTCGCAATATAGTTACAAGAAAGATTCTAGCATGAGAACATCGAACAACAATGTATTCCTAGTATGTCCCTAAAGGTGGAAATACAGGGTGTTTTAAAAAAGGTAACCCCATTGATAGAATATAGCAAGAACACTCCAAAATAAGTTGGACCAAAATATACATACAACGAAATGTACTGAATTTATACTTCCTGTAAAATTAGTTATATACCTGGATAATCTATCCAAATTTTTTAACTCTGTATTTAAACGAGTGTTAATCAATAAAATATTTAGACTACTCGTTGGTTGTTGTAGTAGGATTCTGTGACCGAAGTGTTTATTACAATAAATAATTTGGTATGAACGAATTCATTTAAAATGCGATATTTTTGGAGCACACCATTTCAGTTGACATTAAAAGTGATCAATTTTCTTCGACACCTGGTCTAATTTCTTTGCATTAATTTGTTCGAATCAATCAAGTTAATGAATCAACTTTAATCAACCGAATTGAAACGTATATTTTCGTTTTAAGGTACATAAGTCCCTCATCTAACTGCAAAAAGTGGTGCGATTTTTTTGCTTGGTATTTGTAGTTGGGTACATATGTTGATTTTATTGTTAATATAGCAATATACAGGTATATGTAAAACAAACATATCTTTTGAGGTTTCAAAAATATATATAAAAAAAAACTGGCCCAAAAATTCAAATTAATTTGTTAATTTCCTTGGAAATCCCCAATATTACCCCTACGAAATAAAAAAACTTATCAAATTTAAATTATATCAAATTAGAAAAGATGTACTTAGGACGAAACAAGAAAAAACTGAAATTTTGAAGACAATAACAAATAATTTGTCTCATCACTTATCAGTACCCAAATTGGCAATAAGAAACACTTAGGAAATCAACGAATCACCTACGTGTCTCTCTGTCTGTCCGCCTGTCACAATCGTTTTATTTAGAGACTACTTGACATATACAATTGAAATTTGAAGTAATTAGTTTCCCAAATTAGGGGTTAACTAAAAATGTAAATACTTTGTCTTGGAAGTCAGCTGGGGAGGAGATGGGGTTGTCAAAGTGAATGTTACAATTTTTCTGGAAATTTGATTGAATGAAAATTATTACGATTCTGTCCGTTGAATAGATTTTTTATATAAAAAAAGAGAGCTCTGAGGAACTGAAACAGCTAAATCTATCAACATACGGCAAGAAACACTATTGCGCTATTTCATTTGGTCAAACTTTTATATTTAGCCTTTAATTTGTATAATAATGATTTTTTTGTCTTTGTCTGAAATAATTCGCGATATAAAAAACTACTGTGTAGGACACCTAACAAATTGTACAACAAAATCTAACACAAAAATTGTGTCCAAAAAAGTTAAAAAAAACCGACTTCAAAAACGTGCAGATACCATCACATCTTAATCAAATTTATATGGGACCACCCTTGAGGTACTAACAAAAAAAGAATCATATAAATCGGACAAGGTGGTAAAGCATTATCGCTAAACATATATAAAAAATTAAGAGTTTAAGGATTTTCTCATGGACCCAATTATTAGACTTTTACCAAATTTATATGGAACCACCCCTGAAGTACCCCCTTTTTAACAAAAAAAGTATCATTGAAATCGGACACCGTGTTAAAGAATTATCGCTGAACATACATAAAAAAAAAATATTGCGATGAATTGAGAACCTCCGCCTTTTTTGAGGTCGGTTAAAAATGAGAAAAAAAGTCTTATATTTTACAAAAAAAAAATCTTGTTTTCACTTCAAAATCCATAATCAAGCTACAAATTTGATAAAAATTAAAAATATTCTAATACACATTTACTCCAGGCGCGGATACAAGGGGGGTAATAGGGTAATTACCCCCCCCCCCCCCGAGCTGCTCGAAAAAATCCAGGAATTTAATAAATTGTAATCTAAAAACAACGAGATTTTACGAGACAGACAAAAAACAAGATGACGGTGACGAATGAAGAATAGAGAAGCACAGGATGGCGTACAGTATTTTTTGTTATTTTTTAAATAAACGAATGATTCTTTGATAAAATTATCTACCCTCCCGAAAAATCTTCCCAGATCCGCGCCTGATTTACTCGTATCATTGATTGGAATATTCAATGAAATCATGATGATCAACTTTTTCGTTTGAAATTTTAATTTTAAGTAGATAAAAAACTTTTTCCAGTTTTCTATTAAAATTAATTTTAAATAAATGACATGGAATATAATTTTTCTTACAAATCACTATTGATAAAATCCCAATTACACACGTATTATTAGTTATTATTTAATATGTATGCAGAACACGTGTATTATAGTTACCTTTTTGACCATCTGGAAATTTGATATGTTTAAATTTTAAGTAATTGAAAGTTTCAAATAAACAAAAAGTGATTTTGAGGTTTTATTCTTTTCTTGAAAAAGTAAATTGCTCGAGAGAGCTCGAAAGAAACGAGAAATTCTCGTCGAGACTCTCTCATCTCATCTCGAATCTTTTTTCAAAAGGAGGAAATAAACATATTAGTTTTCGAATTTTTTCTCCATCAATTTTACTAGAAACTATTGTTTTCCAATTGATACATGAATACGACAATTGTAAGTATTTACGATTCTCTTCCAAACAAGCTTAAGGTTACTAAAATTGGATAACTCAATAGCTTTCCCCACTTTTATCAAGATCGGTATTTGTCTAAGCTTTCTAATTAAGTTACCAAAGACATACCTTGATTTGGAAACTTTCGAAGAAATTTACAGTTTTTACGAATGAGCACACACTCGTTTTTTAAGGTAAATTTAATGTTGTTTGGTGAAGTCCTGACGACACATTTCTGTAAATATTTTCAAAATTTTTAAAGATAACTAAGTGAAATTTGGTACAAATGCTAAACATTTTACGCTCTATTTAATGGACTAAACGCCAGTTTTTGATCATCTTCATAGGTGGGTAAATTAGGGGAGGGGCTTAGGGTTAAATTGTTGACTGTTTTTAACATTTTTGATTACAAAATTTGAAAAACCAATATTTTCCTTATAATAAAGCTACTTCTGTTGTATCTCGCTAGGACGCACCATTTTCAAGAGAAAAGCATTTGAAAATTTCATGATAAGTTGATGTTATCTTATTCTAAAGTGTAACCAATAATTAGTAGGCCTCAGAAATTTTTTTTTTTAACTAAAGTAATCAAGACTTGTATCACCCTGTATCTCAAAAACGAAACGTTTTCGGATCTATGTTTATATCAACTTTTACTTCTATTTTAGAATGTAGATTACGCTGTTAAAATATGACCGCATAATTTCATAATAACATGAATACACTCTGTATTAAATACTATTTTCTTACGAATTTTTCTACAAAATAATACGTTTTTTGATAGTTTGCTTGCAAATTATGTTATTTTCCGCGACATTTGTACTATACATTTTATACGTTTGGTTATTAACTATTTTCGACGTTTTTTTTAGGTACGTGTGCTCATTGGGTTATATTTAATTTTCAATTGTGACCCTTGCGGCGAAATGCAGAATTTAAAAATAATTTCTAGGTTTTTCTCACAGCCACTTTTATCATGTTGCTTTGCTTAAAACTTTTATGCCTAGTGGTTTCGAAGAGAAACAACCAGTATAGCACTAGTACCAGGAATTTAATTTGATGGTGCACTTTAACAATAAATTCTTCAAAAAAAAATCAGAAGAAAATGAGAAAATTCAAAAACCATGTCACCGGAAATTCGAACGACCGTCTCCCTCCGCAAACCTGTCACTCCTTTGGCTGATACCATGACAGGCATTCATTTATATCCAAAGAACAAAACCTTATAGATTTGAACTGAGAATGTTTATTTCTTGCTGATGAAGATAGACGTTTTCCTTAGTAAGCAAACTCAAAGCTAGAGTGTAGAAAATAATTTTCTCTCTGCTGTTTTTATTTGCTTATATTACAATGAATAATGTCGTATTAAAAAAATATTTTTGATTGTTTTTTATTTTCCATTATTTTCATTATTAAATTAGTCACATGGGATTATTGGAAATTATTTCCTATAATAAAATCATTTGCAATTAAGCTAAATCAATAACCATGCAAATCCCGCCATTTTGAATCACATTAATAAAACACCATACCAAAATCAAACTCAAACAATAAAAATTTTATCCCGGAGTGTATCAACTCTTTATCGCTACCTAACGAGCTCATTGGTTGGATGGCACGCGCTACTAGGGCGGTACTTCAACACAAAAGGGCTCCGGGGGCATTGTGTCTATATAAGACCAACAGGTAGTCCGGCACCCATCAGAAAGAATTCAGAGCCCGGTTGTGAAACTTGTTTTGAAAAAAGTCAATAAAATCACGTGAAATGGAAACATACAGTGATACGTATGGTTATACCTATTTATTATCCCCTGAAGGAGTAACGAACAATTGGGGATGTGTATCCCCTGAATCATACGAAAGTTATTCAGAAGAAAACTATAAATCTTCATCTCCTGACTCTTTAACTAGGAGCAAAAGCAGAGTGACGCCGGTGGTCCTGAGAAAAAGACGTTTGGCAGCTAACGCTAGAGAAAGGAGAAGAATGCAAAATCTAAATCAGGCCTTCGATAGGCTAAGAACCTTCCTACCTCAACTAGGACAAGATAGGCAGTTGTCTAAGTACGAAACCTTACAGATGGCACAAACTTACATCACAGCCCTGTACGATCTTCTGGATCAACGTGAGTCTATACAGTGAAGATTATTTCTATTATTTTTTTAAATGTATTAGTTAAAGCCAAAGTTGTTATCTAGATTTTTATGTATAGCTAGTAGATATATGTATATATTTTTGACTGATAATATTATTTATTTGTTTTAGTAATTTTAAGTTAGTTTAGGGAAAATGATCAGTACTTAGATTGTGCCAAATGTTTTTTTTTGTCCATGATGTGCCAAATTTTTGTATTAATTTATGTTTTTGAAGTTTTAAAATAAATTATGTAAAAAAAGGTTGGTGTTTTATTTTATTTGTGCAATTTTGACAGGTTTTGGTGATTTCATTTGTTTATTAGTTATTTAAAATTAATTTAGAGTAAATTAAAAATAATTTCGGTAAATTATTTCATGTTTTGAGCTTTTTTTAAATACACATTTAAAGGAGTATTTGTCATATCTGATTTCATTATAGTAAAATATTTTGTAAAATCTATTTCAACAGGAGAATATTGCAAAATCAATAAAACTTAACAAAACTATTGATTTTAGATTAAATTAAAATTATATAAATACAAGGTGAACCGAAATAAAGTATAAAAAACTAAATTAAAGTGATTTCTTTATTTAATTTTAAAATATAAATAAAAAACTTGAAATTTTTAATATTATTTATATTTATTGTCAATAATTGTATCTGCAGACTTTTTTTAAAAGGTTTTCCCTTATAGGTACGTTTTCAAAATTAATTTCCTACTTGCTCTAGTTTTATAATTAAAATGATTACATAGAGTGTCACCGTTAAAAGTCAGCATCACATATGATTTTTTGATTATATTTTGTTTACGCAAATTTAGAGTTCTTGAACAGTTTTTGCTTAAAAAATAATAAAAAATAACGTTGTCGATTTATTGGCTATATACATGTAAAATTTAATATATTAAAATGCAATAAGTCAAAATATTTCTTCAAATTTTGAAAAATGTTTTCGGTTTTCTCCCCATCTACCAAATTTTAACGAATTTGGATCTTTGTTTCTTTTCACGGTTTCTTTACCTAACAATTTTTTGGTTAATTAAAATTATTAAAAACTTAAAAAACCCGTTAAACAAAATACTCATCTACTAAAATGCTTTTGTTTTATTTAAAAATGTTACTAAATGAAATTTAAGAAGAAAGAAATATATAGAAAAAAAAAGCGTGTCGTAGTTTCAACATTCATATCAAAATTCGCTTTATTTAGATGTTTTTACTCATTATGTAAAATGGAATTTCAGTTGGGAAGTGCCACAAATTTGAATTTTAAAATCAATCTGTCTAAATTATTGTATTTTTTGGAATATGTCAAATTTTACAGGTATATTCAATCGACAGAATAAATGGTCAACGTTATTTTTTACTTTAGAAGATAAATCTCTTCATGTAAATTGGCATAAACTAAATAAAAAAATTATTCCGACTACAAAGATGATAATGTATACAGGATGTCTCATTAGTGCGGAATAAATCAATTTATGTTATAGAAACAAACAAGTTTCAAATAAAAGTTATATGGATTTAAAAAAGGCATATATCAAAAATATTTTTGGATATAGAGGATGTTACGCATAGTCTGGCAAATTAAACTGTATATTTTTTATACGCAATACCCTGTTATTTATTTCGGTGTTAGAATGGAATAGTAATACTGTATTCAACGCTAAAATGTTTTTAAAAAATGTTACAGGGTTGCCAAGCAATTAATTTTTTTTGTAAAAAAAAGAATAAAATTATTATAATTTAGGTAGGTTGTTAATGATTTCAAAATTATTAAAATGGAAACTTATAAGACACAAACCTAACGAATAGTGATGATAAAACTGGTTCATTTTATACAGAATGTTTTGAAACATGTAATAAATATTCCTCATTTTAAGTTTAATTTACTCAAGTTTTTCAAATGCATTACCCTGTACATTATTTTAGCATAAAATTCGTTAGATTATTATATATATCAGGATGTCCCATTAGTGCTTTATTGATCAATCGCTGTTTTCTTATTGGAGATACAAAAACACTTTTAATACACAAGTTTTCGACTATATCTTACAATTATTCTTAAATATACAGGGTTATCCATAAATATGAGGCGGGACCAAACTTATACTTTTTTTAGAACAAACAATCTGGATAATAGATTTAGTTTTCTTCAAAACTTCCTAAAATGTCCTCTATTTTCATTTATTTGCTGTGATGCATACAGGGTGTGCCTAAATGCGAGATTATTATGTTCTCAATTTTTTGAAATCCTCTGTATATGTTATGCCAGCAAATTTTAAAGTTAATTTTTTATTTTATTTTACATTTTGATTTTGATGGTTTTAATTTAAAAATTAACATTTTTTACATTTTAATTGGTTTTAGAAACCTTGGGAGGTTACAAAACTACAAATATGTAGTTTTATTTGATTTTCATAATTTTTCAAACAAAATAACCCTATTTTCAACTTAATTTGTATAAAAATAAAAATGTTTGTATCCTTATTACCTACCATTAGTAGCTCTAGGTTACAGATTTTAAAACATACATAATTACAGTTAAAACTGAAAGACTGTAACGGAGGGGTGACTTGAATTATTAATTACGAATCAAACCTTATAACAATTAAAAGCAAAACAGTCAAGCAAATGCCTAAAATTTTAGTTAACCAATTTTTTAGAAATAATGGATGATTTTCTGTTTTCCCGACGTCACAGTACGAGTAAAAAAATGGGTTTTGACATAAGGAATGCCAAAAAAAAATTGAAAATTTATTTGATTAATTAATTGGTGGCATAACATACTTATTCTATTTAAAAAAATGATAAAATCGTCACCTTGCATTTTGACAAACCCTGTACAAGATAAGATAGCAAATGAAACTTTATTAAAATTGTTGGGCGATGTGAAAACAATCAAATATGTATAAAAATGTTTGGTTAGCTCCTCGTTTATGGATCACCCTGTATATTTAAAAAGAATTGTTAAATATGGTCATGCAACTTTTATAATAAAAATTCCTTCGTATTTCCAATAATAAAACAGCTATTGGCTAACTTGATGGTATCGTTGAATAGGAAAATTTATAAAGAATTTTATGCTAAAATAATATATAGGATATTGAATTTGAAATTATTGAGGAAATTAAATTTAACATTAGCTATACTTAAGACATGTTTCAAAATAAACCAGTTTTATGTACTCCTATTAATTTATATATTAATTATTCAACTGCTTTTGAGCAATTAATAGTATCAATAAACAAATAGCGTGAGTTATTATAATTCACGCTGGGCTCCTACGATAATTCGGCATATAAATAGTGTGCGCAGTAAATTCTTGGAAATTTTAAAGTCGATGAATGTTCCATTGGCGTAAAATGTTAGGAAGATTTTTGGAAAGGAATTAATAATAATTAAGATTTTAAAATTATTAAATTGTCAACGCCTCTCAGTAGGCGGAACAGTCAATTATTACGTTGATGGGAATAATATCATTTGATATTTTAAAAAGATAATTTTGACGTTTTCAAATCAATTTCTAATAATAGTGCTAAAAAAAGATGAATTTAGATAGTGAAGATGAGTTATTATGTACAGCTCCAGAAATAAGAGAAATAGCTAATAATGCAATACAGAATTTATTATCAGAAAAATCAAAAAACAAGTATAAAGATTTCAAGATTGGTGTAACTCGTTTACAGAAAATGTACCTTTGGCATATTTTAATGAACTTAGCAATAAATATAAATCATCGCCTTTATGGACTTTCTACTCCTTGCTAAGAAGCACAATCAACATAAATAATGGAATTAATATAGAGAATTATTCAAAATTACGTGCGTTTCTTAAACGTCAATCAGAAAAACATATAGCTTAAAAGGCAAAAACATTTACGCCAAAACAACTTAATAATTTCATAAATAAAGCTCTTGATGAGAAATATCTGGCGACAAAGGTAATAGCTTTTACAAAGATTTTATCATATATTCAATTATATAATTCTTTCTCGATACTTGTATCTTAGAATTTATTGTTATAGTCGTAGATAAAGTATAGTATTCAACTTGCGGTAATGGTCATAACTCACTTGATGAATTACAGCACTCGCCTGCGGCTCGTGCTGCAAACTTCATCTGCGTGAGTTATGACCTGCATTACCGCTCGTTATATAATATACTATTATCACGATTATTCGTTAGCTTGGTATCTTTTAAATTTGTATTTTAAAGAGTTTTAAAATTATTTTAAACCTACCTAAATTATGATAATAATTTAATTTGGAGCTTGCATCATTCTCTAATTTCATAGAAAAAATTAATTGCTTGGTAACCCTGTCATATTTAAAAAAAAATGTAGGGTTAAAAGTATTACCAATACATTCTAAAAATAAAATAAAATATACATTTTTATTTGCCAGGCAAAAACGCAACACCCTGTATGTCAGTATATCCAAAAATATTTTTAAAATAAGTATTTTTCAAATACATATAACTTTTATTTGTTGTAACATAAATTGAAATAGGGAACATTTACGCACTGATGGGACACCCTGTATATAATTTATCTATTTTAATAGTTTAGAAATTTTTGTCTAGAAAAATATCGTTAAATCAGCTGCTTTTCAAAAAACAAAAAGTAAAAGATAATGCTTTAAAATTAGAATAAACTACAATAAATAGTAGAATGATATCAGGTTTTATTTTAAAACATATTAATTAATAACTAAATTTAATATGGTAACATTTTAATCCAGAGAGTAAAACGAGGGTAAATATGTCTACACTGGCAAAGACTATCGTAAAATACTTTACAATACATTTGAAATTTATTCTGATTGTATATCTACTAATAAGTTTTTATATAAATTATTTTCTCAAGAATAGGTACCTACTTTTTTTATAAAAATAATGGAAGCTAATTCATAAGAGGTTATTTTTTCATCCCTTTGTAAATAAGACAGGTAAACGAAAAAATCTCAGTAGTTAAGCCATAAAATATCACAAATTTCTAGATTTTTGTTTTATTTTAATTTAAAAATTAAATAATATTTCTGATATCATACTTCAAGAAGCTTACCTCTAAAAATGTTATTTGGACTCACCTAATTTTGTCCACAAAATTTCCAGTTTTTATACTTTATACCAGGACACTCTGTATATGCCTATTTTTTTAAAAGTGATGGATATCTCGAGAAAAATACAAAAACTACATTTGAATTACCATTTTTCTGGAGTTCCTCAAATGTTTCTTTCGAAAACCAATTTTTTTCATTTTGTCCATAATTATTTTTGAAAATTTCCTTCATTTGGATCTAGCCTAAATAAATGAGTAGGACAATATCGTCCTCTTTTAGTCACAAACATTTTTCAAAATTTATTTTTTCATTTGTATTCCTTTTTCGTATAATAATTTTGAAAAAAGTGAATTTAAATATTAATATTGCTTCTATATTACAATTATCTATTTGAATTCTAATATATTCTGTAATTTTCTTAGATTTTTTTTATATATTCTATTTATAATTTGCAATATTTTTTCTTGAATATTTGACTTTTTATATTTGTATAAAAAAATTATTTTGTTCGTTTATTTTTTAATTGTTTATTTGACTGAAAGTAGAAAGAATATTAAAAAAATATATAATAAATATTTGAAATATTAAAATATTTCAAAGGAGTTAATAATTTTAATTTTAATATTTTTTATTTTTATCTCGAGCTATAAATTATTTAAAAAACACTATTTTTTGTCCCTTTTCTAATTGGATGGAAATAAAAAGGTTAATAATACAGAGAACAATTTTCTTTTAGTATTTTAATGATTATTTCTAGTAATTTTTCTTCTCACATTTTTTTCAGAAGTTGATTTGTATAAAAAACAAAATAGATAAATGACATTAAATGAAATTACTAAATAGGTAAATCAGAAAATATCATTTGACATTATTTTGAAGAAGTAGAATAAATAAAACATAAATACCTAATTATCAATAAATATTTTAATATGTATATGTATGTAAAAAATAAAAAAATCCATAATGAAGAAATATAATTAATAGAAAAGTACGGTATACCCAATAAATTTATATTTACATATAATACATTTTAAATAAAAATTATAAAATAAAGTAACAACTATAAGTACAATAAATAAATATTAGATACAAACTAAATACAAATTTACCTCCAAAAACAAAACAACACATTTCTTAACATTTTTCACTGAACACTTTCCATCCGCTCTTGATCCAGTAATTCATATAATGCTGAGATGTAAGTTTGCGCCATTTGAAGAGTTTCGTATTTAGAAAGCTGTCTATCTTCTCCGAGTTGTGGTAGGAAAGTTCTCAATTTGTCAAACGCTTGATTCAAATTCTGCATTCTTCGTCGCTCCCTCCCGTTGGCAGCTAGTCGTCTTTTTCTTAAAACAGTAGGTGTAACTTGTGGTTTTCTTCGTCCTAAATCTGCATTATTTAATATCTTAGTATCATCGGAAAAACTATTGTAGCTTGAATTCGAACTCCAATCACTAGGCGAGCTCGTCGGAGCTGGTACAACGTACGAATATTCGAAATTATCTACGAAAAATTCCATATTACGAAATTTTTTAAGTTTTACGCTCTTGGGTTCGATCTCTGTAAAGAATCGTCGGTTTTTGATAATGAACCGCTACCTGTTGTTCTTTTATAGACCCAAAAGGGCCCGTCTTTCTCACTCCTACCCTTAGAACACTCATTATTTAAAATTATACTTCGCAGGTATCGGCCAAAAATTATTTCAGGTATAGGTATGTTCGGTATTGGGGAAGTGAAACAAATTTAGATAAATTCGTAACGAGCTTTACGGTGTTTAGCGGTCGGGCTTTATCATATCATTTTGAGAATATTTAGTTAATATTGGTGATTATTTTTTTTTTATTTATTCAAAAATATTAAAAATTAGGGCAAGATTTGTTAATAAATAAATAAATAAATAAATGTTTTTAACAAATAAATTTTTGTTATATTGCTATTATATATTGCTATTGTTGATATTTGAATAATATATCGTTTGATTTATATTACAAAAATGCAAAAAGTTGAAGAATTGAAGAAACTGAAAAGATTTGTCCGATAAGGGTGCATTATCAGATCTACATTAAGTGTCTGATTGGCACGTAATTACTCGATATTTCAATTATATTATAGACACGCAAACAAGTGTCGAATCAAAGTTATATGAATTTGAGAAAGACATATAGTATTTTTTTAATATACAGGACGTTACGCTTTTGCCTGATAAATAAAAGCGTACATTTTTTTAACGAATCAACCTGTATTTTATTTCAGTTTTAGAAAAATAAATAATAATAATCATATTCAAACAACTCTGAATGTATACAGTAATAACATAAATTAAATAAAGCAAAAAGTCAATGAGCATATAAATACTTGTTTTGACAAAATAACAAAAAATATAATTCATAAATTGCGAACAAACAAATGAAAATAAATAAAAAATAACATAAATGATTTGTCATACTTACCTAATAATAATCTAATAATAATAATGATATTAATAGTAATAACCAAACCAACAATGAGTAGTAATATTAGTAATTACTAATATAAACACATTCGAAAACATAACATAAATGGACCAGAACATGAATGATGTTAAATGTACCTTTTTCTCAATAAGAATTTGGAAAATAATTCGCAGATTCTGAATATTGAAATTTTTTTTTCTGAAGTTTACTTTAAAAGACTAGGTATAGTGCTAGAAATGTAAATGTATGTTGTGTAGAAGTTTTTGTCATAAGAGAGACTATACAGGGTGTTTCTAAATTCATGCGACAAAATTCAGGAGGTGATTGCTCGTATGAAATTAGGATGGGCCTTTTCTATAACAAAATTTCTTCTTTCCGAGATGTCACCCTTAAAAGGTGGTGACCCAAATTGAGTTTTTATTTTTGTTTAAATTTCAGTAAAACTAGAAACTTGAAATTTTTTAATTTTCGTGCACTCGCAAAGGACTGACCACGGGTATTTTTTAAATATTCCTGTTACATTATAGGGGGGTGAAATTAGCAACCCTTAATAGTATGAGAGCTCACTGCAAATTTCGACCGTCATCTGATAACGAAATTAAATATGCTCCAAAGGCATGTAACAACATTGTACTTTACCAAATTACATATGTGCCAATACTTATCCTAAGCAAAGTGGTTAAAACAAATTATTTTATATTTAAAAAAATCACATAAGACATGACAGCGACAATTGTGTTTTCCCTGAAAATTACAATCCTAATTCATTGTGAACCTATATATCTTTTAAACCTGAATTACTAATATTTTTACCTACCTTTTAAACCATGTTTATGTAAGAAAGGAAGAAGGATGGCATTTTATAAACCATTTGCAGAGATAGTCAATAATAATTATAAACTCTTGTTAGACAATTATTTTAAACCATAATCATAGTAGTTTTTTGTCGTTTCTATGGCAACCTGTAAAAATGAATCACTACAATATGCATACAAATAAATTTTTAAAAAATTGAAAAGTGTTATAATTGTGAATAATTGCTGAATCTTTACATTTAATATGGTAATAGGAACAAGCATGCGGAACATATATTTGTCTCAATTCGAGTACGTTTGTTTCCGAGTAAAGAGTATCAGATTCAGATAGATATCTAGAGGGTTTGTCATACTTTATTTTATGACATTTTCTTTAAACTATTTTTAAATATTTTATATGGATTTTTAACGGTAACACTCCACGGGTAAATTCCATATTTAAGATGACTTTTTTCAGTTTTTCTAAATTTATATAAAATAGTTCTCAGTTAAGTTAACGTGTAAATTATAATATGTAGTCTCATTTAAGGTGATAATCTATAATAACACCTAAATATTTTATTTGTTTAATAGATAAAATCGTCAATTCTGTTCTTCCACTAGCTATGCACAATTTATTAAAAATAGTTTCCATTTTTACATATCTTATGTAAGTAATTTGTAATGTAACCATTCTGAAAATGAGAGTGAAGGTCAGACTCGGCTACTAATTTTTGTACGTTGTTAATTATCCTCTTCGTAAAAGATGGATGAGTCGTCTACGAATCCAATTATTTGGCCCTTAGTTTTCAATTGGGACAATTCATTTATATAGATGTTATCAGGGGCGGTTTTTTCATTGGTTTATTTGTGCAGTGAACACCCAGTTACATTTCATAAAAACACATTATTTTAAAATAAATAACAAAAATATTAATCCAATTTTAATAATATTATTGTTTTCATACGTGTTAATATCTATTTTTGGGTACGCCACTATACTCTGGCTAATCAAGTTTCCATGGCGCCTTTTTATAAGTGTGACCGAAGGAGTTTAGAAGTGTTCTCGAAAGTCTTTAGCTAAAAAAGAGATGTCACACGTTAACAGATCCGTGAAACGTAGTGAAACAAACATAAAATCACTTAAATCAGCTTAATTTGCGAAACGCACACAGTGACGTCACAAAGTAGGGCGGAGCATACGAACTTTCCAATCATTGATATAAAATAAAGAGGAGATGGTATGACGATACTACAGTTTTACATCATATGTCAAACTCGAGCAAGTTTTTTTAAAATAGCATGACACTATGTTATAGAAAAATTGTTATCAGAACATAAAAATGTTACCAAAACTAACAAGTCATGCATATAAAAAAAAAAGTTTCAACAGTTAGATTATTACTAAACAATATATATTTTGACAATAATTGGGAATAACTGCATTTTTTGTCGAAATTTAATTGATATATGTAAATATGGAACACAAAAGTGTCCAAACAACATTCAATCTGTTCTACTAAAAAAGTTGTCTAGAGTGACTGGTATCAACAAATGCTTCAGCTAGAGGTGGTGCGTTTTTTTTTCTTCCAATATCTATTTGCAAGGTTTTCTATAGCAATAGCTGAGATTTGATTTGTTATGAACTTATATGATCTATATTTGACTACTGCTTTATTCGCCAAGTATTGTCTGCGAAATGCTAACGGAGGCTCTTGTGATTCAGCTAGAATTGCATGATTCCGTGATGACTTCATTGCACCTAAGCATATTTTTAAGGCCTTGTATTGTATGCGATACAATACTAACAAGTTAGTATTGGATGCGGATACGTATAATGTGCACCCATAGTCGATAAGAGAACGAATGTAGGACCTATGAACATAATGGATAAGTTATGATCAGCTCCATATGTTTGCTTGCATACAACTTTTAGAAGATTCATGCCTTTCTCACATTTTAATCTTAAGTATTGTATATGTTTGGTCCACAATAGTTTTTTGTCTAAGAAAATACCTAAATATTTGTAATATTCGACAACAGGGATAGTATATTCACCAATAGTAATATTATCTGGAAATCTCCTTCTGTGTCTTGAAAAGCACATAATGGCAGATTTCTCTGGTGACATACTAAAACCTAATTCGAATAACCAATTTTTAAGGCAATATAGTATATATCGCAAATCTCTGTAGCATTCTTCATATGTTTTATGGGAGACATATCCGATATCGCCGGCGTATTGGATAATATTAATATTGTCATCAAATAAACCATGCAATTCGGCTGTGTATACGTTAAAAAGTAAAGTCTCATGATTACAAACACCATACCAACATAATGTGAAATTGATCAAAGCAAACATCATAGGCAAAGATGATGTAATTGAAAAATTTTTTCGTTAAAAAATTACTTGAGAAAAGTATGATTCAAATGATATTAATTTCCACTCAATAGGTATGCGGTAAATAAATAGTACCAGTTAATGTAAATATAAATTGTTACAGGATAAAAGAAATTATAGGATTTTTAGGATTAATAGGATATATTTAGGACTCATTTAACATAAACTGCATTTCTAAAACCTAAAATAAATGCTACTTACAATAAATTTAGTGAATTATTTTATATTTTATCATTTGTTTACTTCCATTAAAATTTCCTTACTATTTCGAACTTGAGAATCCATGTAGATTTCAAATTGGTAATCTATGTAGAATTTATCTAGAAGGAAAGAGGACATAAGTATCTTAATAATAAACAATGTTTACTATTTTTTACATTTTAAAACAACTTAAAATTATTTCAAAAGGTAACCAAATTATTGAATTAGTTTTGTTTACATTTTCATAATATCTACATGTCATAAGTCACAAAAGTCGATTTTAATGAAGGACAATTAGAATGAGTGATTAGTAGTATGAATTAAGTAATCATTCATTTATCTACCAGTTCTAAGAAAGGTACTAGAACTAGGCTTTTAATTAAAATGTTTTGTCTTTGTCTACCAACTAGATTAGACATAAGTTAATCTCTTTTCAAGTATTAGAACTTATAAACTAACAAACTATTTAATAATTTGGAGGGTCTTATCAAAAGGAAATATGCCATTTTGTTCTTCTTGTGAGAGCTTTCGTTAAGAACAAGTGACTCAACATTTTTGTGGATTTTTCCAAAAGTTCTTCGATTCAAGAGATTTTGAATTGTTCTGTTAAATAGAAATTCATCAACCAAGGGTTGGATTTAGTCTCGCGAAGTGAAAAACTACCAAA